CCTGCCTGCCCTACAACAGGTGTAATGTAACTCTCAGGTTTGTTAGGCTGAACAGCAACCTACAGTACAGTGTGACTACAAGATTCTTGAGAGCAAATATTTTGTTAATGCATAAGAGTCTCATACAGGATTCCTGCATTTTTTCCTTTTGATCATCCAGCACAGCTTGCTTTTCAATGAACACACTATTCAAATTGATTGTTTTAAAGAAGAGAAGGTAGTTGGACAGAAGTATTCAAATACTTCCCTTCAGAACACCTCACAGACAAATATTGTGGTTTTGTTTTTTTGTTTGCTTTTAATTTTTGGAAGATGGTTTATATCAGTTCTGTGATTCTGCACAGACTCTGAAGAAAATACTGTGTTCTTTAGTCAAAGAAATTGGTTACAAGAGACACATCTTTGAGGCAGGTTTTTTTTTAAACTGACTTTTTACACCATGAGGTTTCCATTCCATATAATAATCTCTCTTCTAAATTAATCCCTAAAGGCCAAATATTATTACCATTGTGTTAGAGCCAATGTTCTTTTTATAATGGAAAATTTTCCTCAAGGAGGTGATAGTTTTTCAACATTCTGGAAGTCAGGCTCCATATTAGCTCTTCCAAAGAAGAACACTGCCTACAGAGATGCTTATCTGGTGAACTTTGAATGTTTTGTTTTGTCTTTAACTCAGTTGTTCCAGTAGAGCACAGCTGTTTCAGTGGGTGGAAAGTGATGATGTGTCCACAGAACAAGAAATGGTGCTGCAGATCCCAGCCAGTGGTTTAAACTGAGGAAGTGGACGCAAGCCAGTAGAGGATTTATATAACTTCATTTCCTTTTGTTCTTTATATTAATTCCCTTCTTTGTGGTGCATAGCATTCTGACTTTTGAAAATACTGATAGAAATGTAATAATAGAGAGGACACCTGCTTGGTGTCATTTATCTGACTACCATTTTATAGAAATCAGAAACAGATAGCAAGCTCTATCACTCAGCATGAAATGTTCCAATTCTGGGAAAAGAAAACCACTCATTCATCAGTTTAACTACTAAGCAGTTTTCCAGTCCTGCTTTTCAGGAGCACCCAAAACTTGTCCTCAACCCTGCCAGTGTTTGGAATAAGCAAGGAATGCAAAGCTGAGCCTGGAGCTGGTAAATTCTCCCTTTTACTAATCTTCTTTTCATGCTTGTAGATTTACCCAAGTTCAGCTAGATACTATGACATTTGTTCAAATCAAGGTTAACTCTAAGTGTTTTGTTCAGGATTTACACTAGTTTCCCTATGGGAATAAATTGGTCTAATAATATTACATTCATAATGGGAAAAACCCACAGCAAAGCACACTAAAAACTAAATAGAAAGTTAAGATAACGTCATTGCATTTGTGGATTCGAAGGAATTAATCACATAGAGAGTCCACACCTCTGAGACCTCAGATTCTTTGGCCAAGGTTTCTTTTAGCTTTTAGGAATTTTGTCCATTATGTAGTTAATTTGCTGGCCAATTACTGAAAATGTGAGGCTTCCCGTTACAGATAACCTGGAGTTTTAGAAGCTGTGATTTTGCAAATGCTGCATTTTAATCTGCATGCCTTTTTCCTGCCAATTCTTTCCTTCATGCTTATGTGGTCTGACTTGATTCTAGGAGGAAAATCAGGACTGTATTATTTTCAGAGATTAAGTATCCTTCTCCCCCCAACCTCAAGTTGGCCAGGATGCTAACGCTTTCTCCTGTGCTATGTGTGAGTGAAGCAGTATCATCGACCGTCCTAAAATACTGTGTTATTTGGAATCTTCTTGTATAAGTAGTGAACCCATTCTGTATCACCCCCTAAGAACCTTTCATAAAGAATCAAATCTCCATGGATATGGAAAAAAAAATGTAATTTAAAAAATATATATTTTGAGTTTGGTTTATATTTCTCTGAAGTCCTAGAATCTGCATCATTCTCCTGTTTTTTATAAAATTTCTTAACATATTTTTTTTTTCTTTAATCCTCTCAGGTTAATTGGCATTTGAGCCTTTCCATCTACTTAGGAGTTCTTTACTATATTCTGTCAACAGTAGGAGTCTTTATTAAGATGTGTTCTCTCTAATTTTTCTTCAGAGGAGTTCTTTTTTTTTGGAGGATCTTGTCCTTTTGTGGTCAGATTTTCCCAGTAGACACTGATTGCCTAAGTCTTCTTGCTCTGATTGTTCCTGATGCAGGAAATTGTAATGAAGCCTTGAGGTTCAACCACTTCCTGTTCTTCCAGGATTGTGTTCTAAAATGCAGGCAGAACTTTTAAATTACTTCATTATAGGCATCTCTATTCCTTGAGAAAATTCATAACTAGCTCAGTTGCAGGAATTGGGTAGATTATAGAAGTGCAAAATATGTCTACATTTCTGTGTGTTTGTTGCTACTGGAAAAGGTCACGGATGTACTCCCACTTAATGACTATCTAGAATTCAAACAAATATTTCAAGTTCAGGTTTTGCAGTAGCCAAAAATTTGACTTATAATAATGACTCACAGTTGCTCACAACTCCTTCTTGAAATATTAGTTATTGGATTTGATTTTGGTGTTCCTTGTGACTGCGTTTATTACTGGGGGAAAAAGCAGGACTCACTCACCTAGAATGGATTCAATTCACCTTGAATGAAACAAAAATTGTCTTAACATGCAAATACATCACAGATGGGTCTACAATGATGACTGGCGGAGGAATGGTATTTAGGGATATGAAAACAGCCAAGTTCTTGTTGACTGAAAATAGAACTCTATCCTTTGAGAACACAGGTTCATTTCAGTTGGCTTCTCAAGAAACACTCACTAATGAAGTTTGTGGCAGAAGAGCTAAACTAAATTTGCAAATGCCAGCATACGTGAAAGGTTCATTGATCATTGCTGAGTAGTTTTTACCTGGTCAGTTGTAAAGTAGTTAAGCTTACCTATAATTCCTCAATCTTTCTTTACCTGAACTGAACATGTTTTTAAATCTTTTAGCTAATGTGAGTTATGATGCTACAGCAGCAGTTTGCATCTGACAAGAGAATATGGGGCTAATGTAACTTGTACAGTGATTTTCAAATTTTCTGCTTTTCTAGAACAGCTGTCTTTTAGGATGACCTCCTAAGAGCCCTTTCAAGTGAATCATCCTGCTTTTCTATAACGTGCAATAGAATTTTATTTTGTATGATATAAAAATCACACACTCTTCACTAAAAGCTTCCACCAAAACTCGGTTTTGATTGAGAATTAATTCCTGTGAGATATGGATAAAAGGTCAATTGACATGGTCCTGAATAATCAAGATAACCTTTCTGAGGGATAAGTGAAAAGTTTTAGGTCTTTATTTTATTGTTACATAAATAAGGCAGACAGAATGAATACAGTTCATGACCAAGACAAAACTGTAGAGTAGGGATTTATTGATGCTCAAGTTCATTAAATTGTATCAGGTGGAAGTATAAAATGAGCAGTGTCACTTTAAGCCTACAGTAGATTGCATGCTTCAGTGTTAGATAAAATCTAGCAAAGTAGATGTAGCTGTACGCAGTGTTTAGTTACACAGATTCTGCAAAGCATTTAAAGAGTTGAACAATATTAGTGGCTTTAGATTTAAATCCCATTAACCATTACCCCATTGACCAGCTAAATAGTTTTTCAGCATTCCTTTAGGGCAGTGCCCCTTCATTCTGCCATGGAAAACTGGATAGGTTTGTGGGCTCAGCTAAAAATGTTTAGGAATGATGGAAGTATCATTGGGTGAGGCAACCTTGCTGCTTGCTCACTAAAGCAGATCTGGTCAAACTATAGAGATTGCCACTTTTTCAGACTGTAAAAAGTATTTTGTTTTGGTTTTTTCTTTTTTTTTTTTTTTTTTGCTTGTTTGCTTGTGTTTTAGGTTTCTTTGGGTGTTTTGGCTTGTTTGTTTAAGTTCTGTTTTGGTTTTGCTGGTTGTTTTTTTTTTTTCCCCAAATACTTTTTTAAAGTTATGTTACTGCCAGAAGATTTTTATTTTTCAATTGTAGTCTGGTAAAAGAGTCTGTGTTGTTACAATCAGAATTGTAAAAAAGCTCCTTCAGAGTTCTCTTGTACATGGATATATACAGCTTCTTTCCTCAAATGATAAGGTTTATAATTCATTGCCTGAATCTTGACCCAATGCAATGTGAATTATGGCTTCATTGAATGAAAGTGGACCACCAAGTAATTCTGAAGAGAAATTTGCAATATCACAGTATCACCTGTTTCCAAATCAAACTTGGCAGCTTCAGATGAATTTTCTTTGAGCTGTGATGAACAGAAGGTTTAAATTACAATCCCTGAAGAACATATGTAATGACAAAGCTATTTTGTCATAGACACCTTTGAGTAAAATCCTTAGAACACCACCACTTCCAAATCTGCCTCTCTGGTTTTGTGTTGACTTATGCCACCTAAACCTTTCTGTTAAACATCAATCAACCAAAAAAAAAGCAAAAAGCTCTGTAAATTGAACTAAATAATGGTCTCTGAATTATAGACTGTTATGATTCACATTACCTCTTCTGACCTGGAGATTCTTTTGGTACATCAAGAAGAATACTGTTTAGGCAATATTTACATGGATGTCCACCCATGGACAGATGGAACATGTTAAAAGCATGTTCCACCTGTCCTAACCAGTTGCCATGATATAAAAAATATATTAAATTATGCATTTTAATTATTTTTAGTTCATTAACATTTACGGGACGCTCCAGTAATCAGGATCTACAGAAAAAGGTTATCTGTAGCCTCTCTCAGAAAGGACTAACTTCTGTTCCCATGGAACTGAATTATTCTTCTGTCTTAGTTTTTTGGATTTTTCATTTTCATTTCACTGAATAATCTGCGTGTTATAAATAAATTTACCAAAGTAGTGCTGAGCTAAGCAGAGAATTATAAATAACCCCACTGAAGGGAAAACATGAACTTACAAAGCACATTTAAGAGACATTGGCTATCTACATCCTTATCTTTTCATATTCTTCTATTTCCTCAGATCATAGATGAAGAAGAAACACAGTTCATGAGTAATTGTCCTGTTGCTGTTACTGAGAGCACACCTAGGAGGAGGACACGCATTCAAGTGTTTTGGACAGCTCCTCCTTCCGGTACAGGCTGTGTAATTCTGAAGTGAGTATTTTAAGGCATATTAAACTAACCATTAAAGTAAAATTTAGTTAATAATGAATCTAATATTTATTAGATTAGGAACTACTGGTGTTCTTACATATTTTTTTCTTCTTTGACACATTGTGTCAAGGGTTGTACTACTTGCACGATGAAATATTAGCAACTTAAAGCCCAAGTAATCAAAGTTACTCCATGCCTTCAGTAACTATTGAATTGGTAACCCTAATTGAACTGGGTAGGCTCTCAGTCATTTATTTCATGTGAAAATCTGAAGATTCTGAATCTTAAAGGTTAAATTTCCATTACTTCATTTGAGATTTGGATAAAACACATGATCTTAATTCAGATGATTAACAGGGATTTTCTGTAGAGTTGGGATTTTCTAAACTGACCTTTATCAGTAAAAACTGATTTACTTGTTTCAAGGTGAGTGCTTCGATTTTTGACCTGGTGATCTGATGTTTTTCTATTTTTTCTATAGGCTATTTTAAAGCATGTGCATCCATGCTTTTTAGCAACAGACAAAAGTAACATTATGTAGGTGCACTTTGCTTTAGGGCCGCTCATTTGTCTGTAGACACCTTAAGGCACTTCTTACTATGAGAAGTGTCAGAGGAAACTGTCAGAGAAACATTGTCTTATCTCTTAAGATTTTGCTTGTCATATTTAATAGGACAGGTTGGTCAAATATGCATGGAAAATTGGGATTTCTTTGCTTGCTTTGAATCTGTGTCTGTGATTACCCTTTGCAACTGCCAAGATGTGCCCTACAGTAGACCAAAGGATTTCAGAGAGTCTTGTCAGTACTGGGGGCACCTTCAGAGACATAAAAAATTCCAGGTGTTTTAAGGAGATGCTAGGGTAAAGGTTGCACTGAAGATAGTTCAGTGCAATTCAGAAAAATGTGTTATTAAAATTGCAGCTGATTTCTGAGCAGGCTGCAAAATTGCCACCAGCAACATTGGTCCATGACTTGCTCTCCCCTTACCCTGTGCTTCTCTTTCTTCTCCTTTTGCTAGTTATGTGAAAAATGCAAGCTTGCTCCCAGTGGTTTTATTGAGCTCCGAGGGTGACTGCCCAATTCCCGAGGGCAGTTCAGAGAAAGAATGAAACAGTCACTGATAGTACAAGTTGCTGATGCCAGATACTAACATCATAAAGTGGCATTTTGTTTGTGTTGTGGTGCAGTCCTCTGTGGCATCATACATAGCAATCACTGTGGTTTTGGCATTAACATTTGCATTTTTTCTTTTGTATGTAAAGCTTTGACCACATCCAAATTAGAATTTACAGTCAGCACTCTATAACCCTTCTTTATGGTCAGCTCCCATGGAAGAGCATAGACATGTTGGAGGCAATTATCAAAATTATTCTGTCATTTGTGAAGGCTTAATAATATGATAAAAATGAAGGTCTAAAAGCAGTAATTATTTTAAATAGTTAAGTCCAAAGTCATAATGAAAAAATCCTGAAACCTTGACCTTTAGAGGACACAAAAGCCATCTGTATTTTTCTATTTTCTGTGTGTGATGGAGTGTATGTAGCTTTTTATTATCAATACATATCTGTTTCAGTCCTTGGAGACTGTCTGAACATTTTTTTTCAGAATTTCCAAACCAGAATGGCAGCATATTGGAGCCTGTTCTGAAACAGAAGGATATACTTTTTCCTTTGCACAATTGACTTCAATATATAGAAAAGTTAAACGTAGTCAGAAGTAAAGCATAGCGATCCATAAAACTTAATATGGTTGTAGTGCTAAATATTGGGTCTTTTTTTAGGTTTATAATGGGACAATTAAGTATAGAGGCTTCCAGGAAGTTTTTCCTGGACTAATACTGCAGGTTGGGAATTTTTTTTTTTTTTTTTTGTCATGGTCTGTGAAGTCTGTTACCTGTGATAGAAACAATTGCCCCCATTTGACTTCTTCTCAATGCTTTCTAGGCTTAGTGGTCAGTCTGGTTGTGGCAAGCATAATGTAACACAGAAATGGTAATTTGCAGTTCTAGGGTTCAGTAAGGGATGCTAAATCTTTTGGCACTAGCACGTGTGTATAATGCTAGCTTCCTGGGGGACTGAAAACTACAATGTTTAGGAGAATATGATCACTACTTTGCTTTCCAAAACATCGCTTGCTGTGCAAAAGCTTAGAATTGAGGGGAGGAAGAGGGAAATAGTGCAACATTGAATGGTAATTCATAATTGCTTAGTCAGGGACAATTCATCCATTCTTTTCATTCCCACTACGTGATGACACTGAAGTAGCCTAAGAGTTCAAATCTTCCCAGCTCTTTACTAAACTGCCACTGTGCTGAATGTACTTCCAGGATGCAAACAGTAGCCAAGGCTCTGTTTTTCCAAAGGCTGTGCTTGAGTCTCACTGAAGACACAAGACTGCTTAGATTTCACACAGTACTCAGGAGACCCTCTGGCTTTAAGCCCTCTTTTCACTTGCCTGATGTATGCTAGGAACACTGTGCAGCTAAATCCAGTTATAGGAAGGTGCACCAACTCCAGCATACCAGCTCTTGAAACTATTTCTGCAGATGGATGAACTGGAGAAACAGTGTATCATTTGGGGGATGGCTTCAGACACTGCAAGACAATTTCAAACACCTTGATTTTTAGAATGACCTAATGAAAATGGAATGCGTCATCAGGTATCAGTGTAGTGAAACTCATCACAGCACTAGGTACTTGAATGGGAAGTTTTGCTGTGTGGAACAAAGTTATTATAAAAAGATAAATCAACAGAATGCTCTTGGGTCTTACGTAGCAATAAGGATTCACTTGGCTGCCTCTGGAACTGTGCTAGCTTCAGAAGTTACCCAAAGCTATCAGCAGGAGCAGGAAAGTGCTTGCAACAATATTTTTCTTGCTTCTGTGGTTAAATGTACGTATCTGGACCATTCTGAACTGTTACACTGTGCGCAGTCTACTTGCATGCATGTTCGGAATTCAAGATCTTATCCTAACTTGCTTTCCCTTGTGTCTTGTGATTGATTGGATGCTAAGGTGCCATGTAATCATATGATAGGATCAGATCATCGCCTTCATTTTCTGATAAAAATTTCTGTTCTAAAGCCTATTTACTAGATTTCTGGGCACTTCAGAAAGCATTTGCTTTCTAACATTTATAAGCGGTCATTAAAAGTTTCTCAGGAGTGATGGAGAATCACCTCTTTTAGGCCTCATCTAGCCCCATATTCCTAGATTGGACTGATTAATTGGATTCCTCCAGATTAGGTGTCTCTGAGCAGGCAGGTAGAGGTCTGACCACTGTAATTGATGGAAAACTCAGAACAAATAGTTTTCTGGAAGTACTAGAATTATATATACATACATACATAATATATACACACACATATATATATAAAATATATACTAGAATTCCATAATATAATACAAGAGTGAAGAAAATGTTGTAAATTGTCTTAGTTGTCACATATTAAAATTTCATGGTAGGGAGAATCTTGTTAACATCCAAATTGTTTCTATCTGTCAGCTGGTGCAGATCTCATGGAGTCAAGTATTGCTAGATCGTAATTATCTTTTTCTCCTTTAGCATTTGGTGATTTTTGCTGAGTCTGAGATTAATTGTTGATGTAGTGAATGATGACTGTATGCAGATAAGTTGTATTCAATTTGCCATTTAGAAAAGAAACCACAGTCCTCTGATTGGCTCCTGGAATAATTTTCTCAGGCAATGGATGTGACTTGTATGGGAAATGTAACAAAAGTTCTTGCTGACGAGTTCCTTCTTTCTGCTATGCATATAATTAAATAGCCAACAAATTGAAACCTGGTATCTATAAATAGCGTTTATTACCATTACTACTTGCAGAAATCATTGCATTTATCATAATATTTCTACTGTATGTTTCTAGAAATATTTTCTGAGACATATCCAGGGAAATGTTTTCTATTTTTTCAGGAAAATTGTGAAACATTGTTTTTCTGCATACGTAATGATCTCCATGATTTTAATTACATCGGGGTTGGCTTGTATGTAGTCAGAGAGTAGAGGAATTTTAATATAAAAACTATGATATATTTAGTAGATCATCTTTTAGGTAGTTGTGCTATTGTAGCAAAGCTACCATAACTACGAGAACAACTTCAGTGTACCAACCCTAACTATAATATGATTCTACGAATATTCGAAGTATAAAAGCAAACAACAAAAAACCCTGCTTGTTTGAATTGGGTATCGAGCCTGTTATTCAGTCTTTTCTAATTATCGTTTCAGTCCTCCTGTGCAACTGTTCAGATATGTGTCAACAATTTTACCTGCCTGTTTATGGGAGTGCTAATACTGAAGCAGTTGAGCACAGTTATAAAGCATTTACTGAAAGCTTTCCATTATGACTAAATATAATGGCCAAGGAGACACAGAGAATAATCTCGCTGCCTTGCCCAGCAAGAGCTTTTAGTAACAATTATATACAGTTTGTGGAAAAATAGAAGGTAACAGTTCTCATATTGTAAATAGCTATATTGATTTTCCCAGTGGAATTAATGTCTTCTGCATGCAAATGATCAAAATTCCTGTGCTAATCTTTAAAGAAATACCAATCTGTATCTTCCAGTTAACCTCTACTCGACAGCAGCAGTAAACTGCTTCTGAACTTAATTTTTCATAGAGATAATAACAGCATAGCTTAATATTTCTTTGTGCATAGCTTAAATATTTTATGTAGACACTTTCTGTATTTCTACACAATTAAGTTAGCAATCTAAGATATTTCTGTACATCCTAACAGTCCTTAGAACAAATGCAACCTTTGATATATAGAAAATGTGCAGTTTCCATATGCAATTCTTTTGACATGCTGTCATTTTTCCTCCGCTCTTCACTTTTAGAAACTGATGTAACAGAAATGTACACAGCTTTAAATGGCTAGGGGCATAGATTGGAAGTGAGTAGATTTGGGTCCATTCCTATTTTTCACACACAATTATTACAGCTCAACTCATTTTTCAATGCCTCTGTTTTCTCA